CGCTCACCGTGACTACGAGCTTCACTCTCTTGACTTCAGCACTGCTTTCTTGCAGGGCAGCCTGCACGAGGAGATCTGGCTGCGCCGCCCACCTGGCTTCACTGGGACTTTTCCTCCTGGCACCCAGTGGAGCCTCCGGCGGCCAGTCTACGGTCTCCGCCAGGCGCCCCGTGAGTGGCACGACACACTGAGGACTACACTTGCGGCTCTTGGGTTTGCTCCTTCTACTGCCGACCCGTCGCTGTTTCTGCGCACCGACACTTCTTTGCCGCCGTTCTACATCCTCGTGTACGTCGACGACTTGGTCTTTGCCACAGCTGACACTGCTGGACTCGCCTACGTGAAGTCCGAGCTGCAGAAGAGACACACGTGCACAGACCTAGGTGAACTGCGCAGCTACCTTGGCTTGCAGATCACTCGGGACAGAGCACAGCGCACCATTACCCTGATTCAGTCACACATGGTGCAGCAGGTCCTTCAGCGCTTCGGCTTCACGTACTCCTCGCCTCAGGCCACTCCTCTGTCTATTCGCCACTCGCTCTCAGCTCTGCCTTCGGATGAGTCCGTAGAGTCGAGTGGCCCGTACCCAGAGCTTGTTGGCTACCTCATGTACCTGATGACCTGCACTCGACCTGACCTTGCATACCCTCTTAGCATTCTGGCACGCTATGTTGCTCCTGGGAGACACAGACCAGAGCACATGGCTGCAGCGAAGAGGGTGTTGCGCTACTTGTGCAGTACGTCGGGCATGGGGCTTGTGCTTGGAGGGCGGAGTCCAGTGGTCCTCACTGGTCACGCAGACGCTTCTTGGGCTGACGACCAGGCTACGCAGCGGTCGTCACAGGGTTACACCTTCAGCCTTGGTTCCGGCTCTGTTTCGTGGCGGTCTACCCGCTCGTCTTCTGTTCTCGGCTCCAGCTGTGAGGCTGAGATCTACGCAGGGGCCATGGCTGCACAGGAGCTACGCTGGCTCACCTACCTGCTGACTGACCTAGGAGAGCCGCCTCGTTCTCCTCCAGTTCTGTACGTAGACAACAAGGCCATGCTGGCCTTGTGTCGGGAGCACAGACTGGAGCACAGAACGAAGCACATCGCTCTTCGCTACTTCCTTGCTCGTGAGCTGCAGCAGCGCGGTCAGCTGCGCCTTGCTTACGTGGCCTCTGAGGCCAACACTGCTGATATCTTCACCAAGGCACTCGCGCCTTGTGACCATCAGCGCTTCTGTGCTTTGTTAGGTCTTGTGCCTACCTTGCCTCACTTGCTCACTTCTTGGCCTTGCTTGTACCTTGACTTTTATATACTTGCACTTGCATGTTTAGCTTCATATATTTATATACCTGCATGTGGACTGGCCTTGTGGCCCTTGAACTTGTGCTCAGTATGTGTGGTGACGTTGTGATCCACCCTGAGCTTGCTGTGCTTTGCTTGACTGGTCTTGTGACCCCTTGTTCTCCCCCACTTTGCCTATGGGGGTGTGTCAAACTCATATGCTATAGTCTGTGTAGGCTGTAGTGGGGTAGCTCATATGGGGTACAACACTTTAGGGTTTGGTACTTGTACTCCCCATGCTGCTCAATGCAATCATTCTCGTTCCAATTTCCACAGGCTGGTGGGTCCTGAAGGGAGGTCAAACGGACCAACTGGTGGCGCTGGTTTGCCGCTGCCCGCAACTGTTCTGCTACTCGTGCTGAGATGCGTTGTGCTAGAGCTGAGAAAAGACGATTAGGGTAGCCCGCAAGGAAGGCAGACCATGGTGGAACAAGGTGCCGCAAATCTGCCGGGAGGGAAGCGAGAGCGCGGGGTGCCTGCGAGTCTAGGCGTTCTAGGCTGTCGGATGCAATGAATGGGCATAGGAAATTGTCTCCGTCGACCTTGCAGTTCGATGCAAGCACCGGTATGGCTAGTGCCCAGCTGCAAATGTAACTAAGAGGTGCGTACTGTTTTGCACTCCGCAAACCGAAACCTCCCATGCAGATTGGAAGGAATGCCTGCTGCCGTGCGAGCTGCCCTTCTGCGGTATCTAGGTCCCACCAGTCAGGCGGGAAAGTGAGATGAGGGTGTCAAGGAGCTGGTCATCCCAGTCACTGTATAGCTCAAGAACATCGTCTGTGGGCGGAACTGTGCGCAAGAGATAGGAGGGTGTAGCTGAAACACAGATCGCGAGCAAGTGGGCTGCTATCCGCGGATTCTCTAGGCGAGAGAGCCAGGGTGCTACAGCCCGGAGGGAAGCGAGACGTTGCTTGACCTGTTTGGTGACGTAATCTGGCTCTCCTATCGGAACTCGTGCAACTGCCATGCCGCTTTCCTGCATGGTGATACCGGGAGGGAGTTGAAGCGTCTCTGGCCAGCCCTGTGGGGCCCAAGCTTGGCACTTAGCTGGCTGCACTGTGAGGCCTATGGCGCTGAAATTCTGCTGCAGGGTGGTAAAAGCTTCAACTAGGCGGTGGGGGGGGGCAAGAACGTAAGTGTCGTCGGCATAAGACATGCAAAGAACGTCGGGGAATGTAGCACGAAGAGGTCGAATGGCTAGTTGCTGCGTGAGTGCATACAAGAAGGGTCCACATGGATCCCCTTGGCGCACACCGCGTTCGGACATCAGCTGGAGATCTAGAATTGGTGTCATGAGACTCCCCTATGAGTTTCAGAGCTTAATTCCAATGTTTGGTTTGTTATCTAACATTTAGACTAGTTCTTCGCCACCACATCAGAAATCATCATCAACAACCTATCTCTGGTTTTTGGATTGATCTGAAAATTGATACAGGATCTTCCAATGTTGGAATGATACTCCCCTAAAAAAATCAGATCATTTGGACCACAGGACAATGGTTTGCAAAGCAAAATGGGTAAGCAGGCGATTGTGACAAAACATGGTGCAGGTTGCTGAAGCAACCAAACAAGAGTAGGCAGACAGCCACCCTAGTTGGTGATAACAGTAGCACAAACTTCAAAACAAAAAAATAACGTGGTTGAAATTTACAACTGCGCATGATAGCTAGAGAATGAGTTGTCAAGTGCTATGAGCTTCATTGGCGTAGCTTGATATGTTGGTTCTGGTGAGTTTCACCAAAAAAAACATTTCAATCCTAAACAGTAGAGGATGTCTAGGGAAGATGCTAGAGCTATTCAGAAGATGATTTGCATCACTAACCTATCAGTTATCAGCGTTTAAAGGTACACCAGAAGGCAGGCATTTGGAGCCACAAACCACCCTTAAATGTGTTTTTGACAATTCTCTCCATTGTAGTAAGGTATAGGATGGATTAATCTATCGTAGCATAAAAAAAAACACAACAAAAAAATTCCCAACACTTGGCCAATTCGGTGGACTCCATTTTGGCATGTTTCAGAGCCTTATTGTGCTTGTTTATTCTGTATGTAAGAATCAAAATTTGCTCATCTTAATTTGCTCTTGTGGCGACCGTCGCTGTGTCGCTGTTCACGCCGAGCGAAATCTGAACGAAATGTTGGCGAAATTTCGTGAACCATATGTTTATAACTATATGAAGACTTTTTTTTCGCCAGTCTGCGTCCTGTCTATTTTTGTCGGGCAAATCTAAAAAATTGCATGGGGCTTGTCTATTTCACGTGCGCTTGTCTAGCCACCGTTATCACTTGCCGCATGGGACGACTCTGAAGTTGTCGCGCAACTGTTGACCCAGGTCCAACGTCGTCAACTGCCACTCATCGTGACGACTTCAGAAAAATTCGTGCAGGTGCCGACGCAGGTCCGCTGACGCCAGCTGCCTCACAAAATTCCGAAATCGTCGTTCAAACCGCAGCGGAATATTAACTCACATTTAATGTCGCGACAGCTACAGCTGTCCGTTGCCCGGTGGGAGGGAGGCCACGGTCGATCGCGACCGTTCAAGGCAAGGATCTGGCGGTGCCGAAGGAGTACCCGTAAAAACATAGCCGCGAGGAGCAACTAACTAGTTCTCCTTGCCGGGCTACGCAACTCATGGACCCCAAGACATCCTTCCTCGTCCCCCCCCCCCCGAGGGGTATTACACTCTAAAAAGCGGGGTAGGCTAAGAAAGTAGCTCTGATACCAGGTGTTATGAATGAACTTGCAGAGTGCGCAGAATATCGAATAACGAAAATGAGAATTACAGAATTACTGAATGCAGAAACAATGAAGTAGCGAGGCCTAAATAGGGGAAAAGCTAGCTAGGCGGGGGGTTCGGGATGAAATGGCTCGGTGATGGTTGCGATTGGAGCGGAGGCCGACTCGGGGGTGGTTCGGTGCGACGAAATAGGCAAGACAGGTTCGTCGCGTGACCCTCGGGATGGCCTCGCTAACGAGTGCCTCAGTAAGGATTTGTAAATCCTTACAGTGAGTTGGGCCCCCCCACAATTTTTGAGACGAATGCGGAGTTGCGCTGCAGGGAGGACGCGCTGCACGCGGAGCTGCGCGTCGTGAAGCACCTCAAGGTCGCCGTCGCTGCGGAGCTCGACGCATGGAAGCGCGACAGCGTGCCGCACGGCGAGGCGGAGGAGCTTCTGAGGCAGGCGGAGATGTGGCGCGCACTGGCGGAAACGACTGCCTACAAACAAAGCCGCAGTGACGGCGACTGCGTGCGGGAGGCGGCGGAGACGACAGGGGAGGCGGAAGAGAGCAGGATTGCGGCGGGGCGTGCGTGCGGCAAGGGGGGGAAGCGGGCGCGCACAGACGCGGAGGTGGCGCATGAAACTATGGCGCGGTTGACGCGAGAGAAGGCCGAGGCGGAACGGCGGGGAGAGGAGGAGGCGGAGAGGTGGAGGGCAGCGGAGGAGGAAATGGGGCGGCTGAGGGCGGCGTTGGAGGAGGCTGAGCAGCGCGCGGAGCACTGGCGCGCACAGGCAGAGCGATGGCACAGGGAAGTGGCGCGGTTGAGGGGAGAGGAAGCGGAAGGGGTGCGCGGGGAGTTGGTGGGAGAAGAGGTGGCGTGGCGCGAGGAGGAAGGCGAGTGGCGGGAGGTGGCGGGGGTGGCGGAGGGTGCATGAGGCGGGGGGAGCAGTGGTGCTGATGGGAAGGTGGGTGGTGAGGAGGAGGATACAGACGAGGCAGAGACCGAGGCACTGGGGCAGTGGCAGGCGCAGGGGACAATGGCGGGGCTGCTGGGCGTGGCAGGCAGAGAGGCTGGTGCGAGTGCGGTGCTTCAGGGGGGCTCGGGGGAGAGCGAGGGTGCAATATGGTGTGATGCGGATGACGCAGAGCATGCAGGGGTGGCGGCTGGGCAAGCATGTGTGGGCGAGCACGAGGAGGGCGTGCGTGCCAGGGAGGTTGAGAGAGGGGCAGAGGCAGCGCAGGAAGGGAGGATGGGAGCAGCGGAGAGAGTGGTGGGGTGTGAGGTGGAGGGAGAGGAGAGCGATGGGCGAGGGGGAGAGGAGGATAGCAGTCTCGAAGGACAGAGTGGGGGGGCGGGAGGGGAGCAGCAGTGCGAGCAGGGGGGGCATGAATGCGCAGAAGAGTGGTGGCAGTATGGGGAGGGGGAGGGGAGAGGGGGGGTAGAGGAGAAGGTGGCAATGGGAGGCAGGCAGGAGGCAGGGAGGTGTGTGGTAGAGACGGCTGGGAGGGACGGTGTGGTAGAGGCGATGGAGGATGATGCGTGCATGGGCTGGGGCGGGCAGGGCATGTGGGCCGCGCTGGTCGGGGCGCAAAAGGACGAAAAGGACTCGCACACAAGGGAGCACGGCGGGGAAAGGTCGAGGGGTGTTGAGACAGAATGGGAGGGTGGGGTGCGGGCACGGACGGAGGAGGAAGGGATGCATGCAGGAGTGGGCAGGGGAGAGGCGGTTTCAGCCAAGGTAGAGGAGTGGGAGCGATGGATGGAGGAGGCAAAGAGAGGTGGCGATGAGGTATGGCAGGCAGGGCTGTGCATGACAGAACTCTGCAGTGATGCACACGCCACTCTGGCACAGGGCGCATGCAGCATGGGCGCACTGGGGCGCGGTGCGCTGCAGGTGGACAAGGGAGGGGCAGGCGTGTGGGTGGAGAGTGGTGTGGGAGAAGGGGGCGCAGGAGCAGATGGGTGCGGTGAAGGCGGTTGTGTAGCTGTGGGCAATGGTGTTGGGGTATGCAGGGGACAGGGGAGCATGGAGGGTGTGACGCAAGGGCAAGACGAGGATGCATTAGGGGTGGAGCAGGGGAGGAGAGAGGGATTGGAAGGGCTGAATGAGCGTGCAGCAGGTGAATTCAAAGCCTTGGAAGGCGGAATGCATTTGAGAGTGTTGGAGGGAGCTGGATTGGTGGTGATGTGTGATGAGGATCCAAGGCGACATGTAACAGCCGTGAAGGTGGAAAAGGATGAGGAGGATGCAAAGTGCGAGAAAGATGAGGAGGTGGGATTAGAGGCACAAGTCTATTGGTGTGCGGAGGCAGAAGTGGCGAGTCAGGAAAAAGTGAGGACGAGCTTTTTGGTGGCAGCGGAAATGGATGAGAGTGTGACGAGAAGAGTGTCTGTGGAGGGGCTAAGGGAGGAGTGCGAGGAGGAGGTGGCAAGAATGCGAGAGGAAATGAGGAGGATGGAGGTGGTGGTGGTGAGGGAGGAGATGGCGAGGCGGAGGCAGGAGGGTGGGGAGATGCTGATAAAGGAAGGAAGGGGTGCGATAGAGGCTGAGCGTGGGAGGCTGCAGGTGGAGAGGGACAGGTTGAGAGCAGAAGAGGAGGGGGAGGATGCAAGGACGGAAAGGGACTGTTGTGTGAAATCAACGGAAGACATGGTGAGGGCGAGGGACGAGGCAGAGAGGAGAGTAGAAGCATTGCATAAGCCGTTATTGATGGGCACAAGTACGGAGAATGAAGTGCAGGGGGGGGGGCAGGTCACTATTGGAGAGAGTGTGGATGGTGGTGAGAAGAGGGGCATAGGGGAGGACATGGCGTGGAGTGAGATGATGCATGTGATGAAAGAGGTTAGCGGGGCGAGGGGCACACGAGGAGAGGAGAGTGCGGTGCAGGAGAGGGGTGTGGAGGAGATGGAGAGGAGGTGCCGGGTGGCAGAGGAGGAGAGGGATGCAGCTAAGAGGCGGAAAGAGGAGGCGGAGGAGGAACTAGCAGTGGCCGTGCGGGAGGGACAAGGCAGTGGCGAGGTGTAGTGAGATGGAGCAGGAGAGAAGCAGCATAGAGTGGGCACTGCGGGAGGCAGAGAGGGCAATGGAAGAGGCACAGCGAGCAGTGGACGAGGCTGAAGAGGAGAGGATGCAGGCCGAGCGAGCAAGGGAGGAGGCAGATCGGCAACGAGACGAGGCAGAGAGGAGAAGAGAGGAGGGAGAGAGGAAAAGAAAGGAGGACGCAAGGAAAAGAGCGGAGGCAGAGAGGGGAAGGCAGGAGGCAGAGAAGAAAAGAGAGGAGGAGGAGAGGAGAAGACAGGAGGCAGAGAGGAGAAGAGAGGAGGCAGAAAGGAGAAGGGATGAGGCAGAAAGCAGGATAGAAGCAGAGAGGAAAAAGGAGGCAGAGTGGGAAAAAGAGGAGGCTGAGAGGAGAAGTGATGAGGCAGAGAGGAGAAGTGAGGAGGCCGAGAGGAGAAGAGAGGAGGTAAAGAGGGAAAAAGAGGAGGCAGAGAGGAGAAAAGATGAGGCAGAAAGGAGTAGAGATGAGGTAGAGAGAAGAAGTTAGGCATCAGAGAGGGAATTGGAAAATGCAGAGAGGGGACGGGATCTGGGAGAGAAAGAAAGAGTAGATGCTGAGAGGGATAATGTGTGCAGCAGGAGGGAGAAAGCTGCGCACGGAATGAGAGTGGAGGAGGAAGTGGCATGCGCGCGAGAGGTGGGTAGGACGTGCAGTGATGGACCGTCTTTGAAGGAGATGAGTGGGAGCAGCGAGGTGGGGAAAGGCGCTGCCGTGTATGCAGATGGCGTGGGTGTGGCGGGCTTGGGGGAGGAGGTGGCGTGCAGCGATGGCAAGGGCATTGGCAGCGATGGCAAGGGCATTGGCAGCGATGTGCATGCAAGGGCGCATGCTGGCTGTGCCACTGCTCGCCCTGCTGCACTGCATGCACGTGAGCGGAACAGCGCACTGGGTGTAGTGCTGGCAGGCAGTTGTGCGCTTGGTGGCAGCAGTAATGGGCATGACACCAGCAACGACACCACTGGTGCTGTCATGGGAGGCGGCCCTGCACGGCACACTACAGCAACCCCCTGTGCCGCCGACACCACTAATGCCAACACTGCTTCTTCTGCCACTGCTGCCAGTACTTGCTCCCGTTCCGCCCACACCTCGCATGTCCCTCATAACTGGCATGGCTCATATGCCCATGGATCCCATGCTTCGCATTCCTCCCACACATCCCTTTCATCCCACGCCTCGCATGCACCCGCCCCTGGCTCGTGCCACTCCTCTCCACCTTTTGTGCCCGCACATGCTGCTGAATTGACCACCACTTGTTCCTGTGCAGCAGATACCCCTATCGGACCAGTGGCCACAGTGGCAGCAGAAGTCGTGCAGCCCGAAACAAGCAGCGAAGCGCCTGCAGTCACGGCATCAACCAATTCCCACAGCAGCTCGTGCCCCCCCTCTGGTGGTGGGCCTCCACACACCATGCTCGCCGCTCGTGCCCCCACCCCTGAACTTCTGCTGAGCCGCCAACACCTTCGCAAAAGCCCCCCTGCTTTGGCTGCTGCTACTGACGTGGTGGTACAGATACGAGCAGGGGAGGTGAGTTGGAGCAGGCAGGTGAGGGAGGTACAGGGGAAGGTGCAGCGAGCTGCAGCGGCATGGGCACACGTGGAGCGCCGGGCTGGCCTAGTGGAGGAAACTGCTAGGCAGTTGGTGGCAGAGGTTGAGAGAGCAGAGGAGAAGAGGAGATTGGCAGAGGAGGAGGGCCGATGAAGAGAGGCGACGGACTGAGGACGAGAGGAGGAGTGCGGAAGAGGATAGGAGGGTAGTGGAGAGTAGATTGAGAGAGGAATTGGGGCAAGCTCAAGAGGAGTTGGTGCGAGTGAAGGAGGTGGCAAGGAGGAGGCAGGTGGAGGTGGAGCAAGCAATGGAGGCAAAGCGACAGCGTGTGAGAGCTCTCACTCGTTCACTGCTAGCCTCAGAGGAGCAGAGGAAGATGCTGGTTGCTCTGCTCAGGGCTGCAGAGAGCTTTGGAGGTATGTCTCTATGGCAGTTTCTTCATCTCTCCTCTCTTCTCCCTTTGGGCCTTCGTTGCTCGTGTTATTCCTTCTGGGACTTGAGATGTTCAGGGGCTTCTTGACATGCATGACATGCAGCAACACCACACTCGCTCTATGCTTATGCTTCGCCACTGCCTGTACCTGTGTTGGGGATGCATGCCCGTCCATGCAGGGCTGGATGTGCCATCGTGGTAGACACTGTATAAATGTTAATGGATGCCTGTTCATGCAAAAAAACGCTGTGTTCTCAGATGAGTGATTATACGTTGCAATACTTGGTATCCTAAAATGACAATAACCAGTAATTACAGTTCGGTTGTGTATAGGACTGCCTACGGTACCATTATTTTCTTCCCATTTCCGTTCGCTTTCTTTCCTTTACTCAAGGAGTTTCTAATGCGGCGACAAGAGGCAAAACCCGGAACGCTTGTGTGCAGTAATGGTTCAAGGATTGTCGGATTGGGATACATGTGTATTGTATCTTACTGTACTTGCACTTTAGCGAGTACAACCCTGTCACATTGCATTTGTTATCTCTAGACTGTAGTGGGGCATACTCTAAGGAGTACAATACTTAAAGGTCATTTCTAGTAGTTGTACTTATTCTTCCCCACTAGTCAATCATTCCTACGTTCTATTCTGACATGGTATTCAGAGCAGGTCCCTCCGTAGGACCGCTCCGTTAGGGCCCACCAACCGTACGTACTGCCCCAAGAGCTGCTGCCGTCGCGCTGCTGCCCTGCCCTGCCCAGTGCTGTCGCGCTGCCCTGCCCCGTGCTGCCCCGCCGCACACTGCCCTGCTCGCCGCACGCTGCCCTGCTTGCCGCGCGCTGCCCTGCTCGCCGCGCGTGACCTGCGCCACGCACGCACGCAGCTTGCGCCCTGCCCGCACGCGTGCCTACGCGCGCCCTGCTCGCACGCGCGCTGCCTACGAGCGCCCTGCCCGCGCGCGCGCTGCCTACACGCGCCCTGCCCTGCTGCCCGCGCCCTGCTGCCCTGCAGTCCGTGCGCCGCCCTGCCCTGCAGCCCGCGCGCCGCCCTGCCCTACAGCCCGCGCGCTGCCCTGCCCTGCTGCCCGCACGTTGCCCTGCCCTGGAGCCCGCGCACCGCCCTGCCCTGCAGCCCGCGCGCTGCACTGCCCTGCTGCCTGCACACCCTGCAGCCCGCGCGCTGCCCTGCCCGTGTAGCCCACGCGCTGCCCTGCCCGTGTAGCCCTGCGGCCTGCGCGCCGCCCTGGCCTGCAGCCTGCGCGCTGCCCTGCCCTGCAGCCAGTGCACTGCCTTGCCACTACAGCGACTGCCGCTACTACTACAGCTGCAACTACAGCGGTCGCTTCTGACGCCCTTGCGCCGCTGCTACTGACTGCCACTGCCTGTCATGGCCACTATCACTATCGTAACAGCGTCTGGCGGTGGACAACAGCAACAGTGTCAGTCAGAGACTCTATTGCTGCAGCAACTTCGCGAGTGGGTTGTGCGGCAAGGTCGCTCTGGTCCGAGAGCTTGGGATTTCATGCGTGATGGAGCAACTGGAAAGCAGCGGCAGTGTCTGGCGGTACTTTCTGAGTGATTGTTGATGACTACACGCGCTACACCATGATCTTCCCCTTGCGGAGCAAGGCGGATGTCTGCGGTGTTTTGATCGACTGGATCATAACTGTTTTTCGCCAGCTGAGCGCTCGGTTTCAGTAGGACCTCCCGGTCCTGCGACTGCACTCTGACAGAAGCGGCGAGTTTTCCTCCGGCCTCCTTCAGGACTTTTGTCGTGCGGGGGGCATAGCCCAGTCGTTTACGCTTCCGGCCTTTCCACAGCAGAATGTGATTGGTGAGCGTCGGATTGGCTTGATCATGGAGGTTGCTCGCACCTCCATGATCCATTTGGCTGCTCTCCATTTTCTGTAGCCGTTTGCGGTTCGATATGCCGCGCATCAGCTCAACCTCTGGCCCCGTGTCTCTATGCCAGAGACCTCGCCTACACTGCGTTGGACGGGGGAGGTTGGCGATGCGTCGGCGTTTCGGGTATGGGGCACGCTCTCCCTTATCCACGATACCACCGCAGACAAGCTCTCTCCTCGCACTCTTCGCTGCGTCTTCGTTGGCTTCCCCACCGACGCCCCGCTCTGGCAATTTTACCACCCTGCCTCACTCCGCATCCTGTCCTCACAAGACGTCACCTTTGACGAGTCGGTCTGCTTCTACCGTCTCCACCCGCACATGTCCTCCTCACTCTCTTCTTGGTTCCAGGTCCCCCCCCCCCCGGTAGACCCCCTCCCCCCACAGGGTCCTGATCGCTCAGGTGTGTCTTAGGTCGACCCACCCCCCTTGGTTGAGCCTTTGGAGGTCTCCTCTGACACCTCTGGCCCAGCTGAAAGGGGTGACCCCGCTGCTGACAACACGGCAGCCACTCGCCGCTCCCCGCGCTTGGGGACCCCTCCTTGTTTTCCGCCTTGGCCGTCTTCGCCGCCTCCGCAGCCTGTCGCTGAGAACTCTGGTGCTGCTGGGGTGGTGACCCTGAGGTTGTGGACTCTGGGGGTGCTGGTCCGCGGGTTGCAGAGTCTGGGGGTGCTGGTTCTGGGGGTGCTGAATGCTGACTCTGGGGGTGCCGGTTCTGGGGGTGCTGACACTGGGGGTGTTGCGAGTCCTAGTGGTGGTGGAGTTGTAGGTGCTCTTGCTGGGGGTTCTGGCATTGGACAGTAGTAGCAGTCTCGTAGACAGGAGACCCTCTCGTTGCAGCGGCTTCGCGACTGGGTTGTTCGGCAAGGCAGTCCTGGTGGTGGAGGCTATGGTACTGGAGCTGCTGGTACTGGAGGTACTGGAGCTGCTGGTGCTGGAGGTACTAGAGCTGGAGGTGCTGGAGGTACTGCAGCTGCTGGTGGTACTGGAGATGCTGGTGCTGGAGGTACTAGAGCTGGAGGTGCTGGAGGTACTGGAGCTGCTGGTGCTGGAGGTACTTGAGCTGCTGGTGCTGGAGGTGCTAGAGCTGGAGGTGCAGGAAGTACTGGAGCTGCTGGTGCTGGAGGTGCTAGAGCTACAGATACTGGAGGTACTAGAGCTGCTGGTGCTGGAGGTGCTAGAGCTGGAGGTGCTGGAGGTACTGGGGCTGCTGGTGCTGGAGGTGCTAGCGCTGAAGGTGCTGGAGGTACTAGAGCTGCTGGTGCTGGAGGTACTAGAACTGGAGATGTTGGAGGTACTGGAGTTGCTAGTGCTGGAAGTGCTGGAGCTAGAGGTGTTGGAGGTGCTAGAGCTAGAGGTGCTGGAGGTGCTGGAGCTGCTCGTGCTAGAGGTGTTGGTGCTGGAGGTACTGGAGCTGCTGCTGCTAGAGGTGCTAGAGCTGGAGGTGCTGGAGGTACAGGAGCTGCTGGTGCTGGAGGTGCTAGAGCTGCTGGTGCTGGAGGTGCTAGAGATAGAGGTATTGGAGGTACTGCAGCTGCTGGTGCTGTTGGTACTGGAGCTGGAGGTGTTGGAGGTACTGGAGTTGGAGGTACTGGAGGTGCTGAAGCTAATGGTTCTAGAGGTACTGGAGGTGCTGGCGCTGCTGGCGGTACGGCTACTGCGCCGCGCCGACCGTTTTTCTACCCGCAGCCGCAATCGTCCCTGCCACCGCCTTGCTCAGCACTTTGTCAGGTTCTTAGTCTTCCGTCTTCCACTGTCCTTACTCCACCTCTCTTGTGTCCTCCGCTTGACCACTCATAGCTGGAGCTACTGTCTGGCTCTCCACTCCCTGCTCCTTCTCCCTACCCTTAGCGGACAGGCTCCCTAGTAGAGCGTCGTGCGTCTGAGTCTCGTCCTGCCTCCCCTGTTCGTAGTGTCAGTCGTGCTCGTCGTCTTCAACCTCCACCTATCCCCGGCACGCACATTATGACACTTCATCCTTCCTATGTTCCACTACGTCTTGCTCTGCTGTCTCCTCCGGCGTCCTCTCTTCCTGACGTTCCTGACCCTGAGTCCGACCTTGCTCGTGGTGCTAGTCCTACTGTCGCTCGTCTCCTCGCCACTGTAGTCACTGACCCTTTATTTGAGTCTACTGCTGCGTCTGTCCTCGTCACTGAGCTAGTCGACTTTGCTGCTACCCGTCGTCTCGAATACGTCGCAAGTCTTGTTACTGAGTCTGAGTCTGTTTGTCCTCCATCCGTCGGGGGTGAGCTTGCCCTTAGCTGTGACGTCCTTGAGGATAGGTAGTTTGAGCTTGAGTGTCTCGCGGCCACTTTACCTCGTTTCGCATCCATGCTGCTTTGCCCTGAGGGAGACCCCAATGCACTTGACATCCCCACCTTGCGCTCTGACGAAGAGGCGATCACAGGTGAGTACCCTTCTCAGTGGCAGACAGCCATGGATGCAGAGATGGCTTCCTGGAAATCCACAGGCACCTACGTCGACGAGGTTCATCCTACTGGGCGAACATAGTCGATGGCATGTGGATTTTTAGAGTGAAGCGGCCACTGGGTACTCCGTCTGCCTTCAAGGCGCGTTACGTTGCTCGAGGCTTCAGTCAGCGACAAAGAGTCGACTTCTTCCAGACCTTCTCCCCCACCCCAAAGATGATCACTCTTCGGTTGTTGCTGCACGTTGTTGCACAGCGTGACTACGAGCTGCACTCCCTCGACTTCTCCACAACTTTCTTGCAGGACAGCCTTCACGAAGAGATCTGGCTGCGCCGCCCACCTTGCTTCACTGGGTTGTTTCCTGAGGGTACCTAGTGGAGCCTCAGGCGGCC